CCAATCACAAAGCAGCCCAGTCCAAGATTAAGTGTTTAGGCCCATTAGGGTTCCACTAGACCGGGCACCACCCACCGCCACCCCGGGCGGTGGTGGTCAACGGCAGCTCATGGCGGCAAGCGGCGGCAGCCACCATTTCTAATGGTGGTGGTTACTTTTCCGACCAAAACATCGCTCAAACAACATAGTACGACCATTACACGCCCAAAATACACAATAAACACAAACACACAGCCACCCACGCGGTGGCAGGCAGTGGTAGGGAGCGACAGCCACCACCTCACGGTGGTGGTTGTGGATTCTCTTGGTCCCCAGTCGAGCAAACACACACACATGCTCGTAAACACGAGCTGAACACCGAAGTATTCTCAAATCGGCCATTTCAGGTGGAAGGTGACGACTGGAAGCACAAGAATGGTGACCCAAGGCCACCGGCGACCCCAAACAGTGTCGTATACACAACAATAACAAAAGAGGGAGGAGGTGGTGGCGTTTTGACTTACCGGCAGCTTCCCATTCGCACACGCCCAGCACAGCAACAAATCAAGGCATCAACACTCAGTCCCGGTGGTTTCTTCGACTGTCACAGTGTTTCCGGCATTATGGTGGCGTTCTCGGTGGCGAAGTGGTCGCTGACGGAGGGTGATGCTCGGTCACGACAGGGGCGGCGGCTGGAGGGGTTACAAGTGATGGTGGCGGCCGATACACAATGGTTTAGGGTTAAGGTTCCCTTATCCAACGAGTATGGAAGGAAAAGAAGGATACGGGGTTAAACCCGTGTCCATTTCAAACCATGTTGCCAAAAAAACACTTTTGGTCCCTCCCCACTAATTTATTTTCAATGCAAATCCAAAAGTTACCCTTTAGCCCCTGATTCTATAAATTCGTTTCCACTTAGGTCCAAAACTTACCATACACACCTCGACTTCTGAAACCCTTCTCAATTTAATTCCAGAACTTACTCTTTTAACCTTCAAAAATCCAAAATTATATCAATTAGCTCCCCAACACCAACACCCCGCTAATTATTATTTACTTTAGGATTATTATTCATATTAACCCTTATCTATTTATTTATTTAATATACGGGATGTTACAACTGGCCTTCACACTTGTACGCCATGTGTACACTTTTGTACGCCCCGCATACCCGGTTTTACCCAAAAACCACTAAACTTTCGAAGGTCATAACTTCTTCGTTATAAGTCCGTTTCCGACGATCCTTATATCCACGAAAAGGTAATGAGAAGCTCTACGCTTTCTATTAACTCATACTTTCCTTAAAACTTTTCGAACTAAAATCCAATTTCCATAAAAGACCGAACTGACACTTTACCGATATACCCCCTTGGCTCCAATACACAAACCAAACTCACGGGTCATCCAAATTACATTACCCACACCCAAATGGGTCTAAATCTCTTTTTTTCAATGGCCCTAAGCCTGATGATACTCGGTCTGAGGTTCACCACCCCTATTAGGAAACAATTCGGTACAGGGCTTTACAAATTATGTATGATAATCTTTTACACGGACTTTTACCTGCTATTGCACAACTGTACCCACAAGCTGAGCATCGGTTCTATCTATGGCATATTTATGACAATATATGGAAAAATAAAAAACAAAAGAGTATAAAGATCACTTATGGCAGTGTGTAATAGCAACCATAGTACCAGAATTTGAACACTGTATGAATGAACATAGTCAGTTTTATACGGATGCTTTTGAGTGGTTGAAGAGAATCCCTCGTAATGATTGGGTCATAAGCCACTTTTCAGGTTATATTCCCTACCTTAGGTTTTGCTTTACTAGTGCTTAGTGTATTTGACTTATTTGATATAGTGTACTTGTTTTATACAAGAAGAGTAGGATCAGATATATTGCTTAATAATTTGTGTGAGGTATTCAAAAGTAAGCTTATTCATGGCAGGGATAAGCCCATTATACGTTGTCTTGAGTTCATCAGGCAATACCTTATGAAGAGGATTTGCAATGTGATGAAAGTGATGTCTAAAGCTCAAGGTTCACTCACTCCAACAACATCAAAGTTACTTGAGAGAAACAAGGAAGCTTGAGTCCAATATAGGGCTAAATGGAATGGGACTGCAAAGTATGAAGTTTATGGTCCTTGGCATGACCAACATGTGGTTGACATGACAAATATGGCATGTACATTCAGAAGGTGAGAGTTGAATGGGATTCCATGCAGACATGCCATAGCTACAATACATAAAATGGTTGATAATGGGGAAAAAGTTAGGGAGCTTTACACTTATGTCAACAAAGTGTATTGGCTTCAAACTTGGAAGGATGCTTACTCTTACATTGTGGACCCTATAAAGGGTAGAGCCATGTGGCCAAAAATACATGTCTAGTGAAATTAACACCACCACCACATCACACTTAACCTAGGAGACCAAAGACCAAGAGAAAGAGAAGTGAAAATGAAAAGTATGATAGTCAGAAGCATAGGCATGTTGTAGGTGAAGCTGAAAGACTTACCAGAAAGTTTCTTAGTGTCAAGTGTAGGAAATGCAACAATAGGGGTCAATACTCCAGGACTTGCAAGGGTCAAGGAGGGAATGCAGGAAGCAGTCAAGGAGGGAATACAGGAAGCAGTGAATGAGGGAATGGAGGTGACAGTCGAGGCAGGAGTTAGTGTGTTTTGTTTAAAAACTTATCTTTTGGTTTAGGACTACTTTGTGCATTTTGATGTAATGGTTTAGAACTACTTTGTTGTCATGGTTTTATTTTGGTCCTTTAGCCCTTTTGGTCATGAATTTAATGTCAACCTTTTGTGATTGTTAAAGAATGATATTTATGGTGTATTTCTAATGGTTTACCACGTTTAGAGGCTTTAATGACTTTGTTCTGAAACAACAAATACACATTAACATTAGGTGATAACTACATTACATTGTCATTATAATCATCAAAAGGGTACACATTTCTGAAGTTATCCAAAAAAACCCTAAATCGGTATTATAATATCAAATAGCAAAAAACTACCACATTCCCCTGTTACAATATCATAATCCAAAAACACCCAAAATTCCATGCAACTATAGGGGTCCCTAATTCCTAAACCCTAAATGAAAAACACCCAAACCACCATAAATAGTACCCAACTTGCAAACAAACACATCTTCAGTTTTGCCACTTAATAGTTTGCAGTGTTGATATTTCTCAATAATTCGGGTATTATCAACATAGATCTTGCACACATTTGAGGATCAATCCATCCTAAGAATCTACATCTGGAACCCTTCAAGATTTAAAAAAATTAAATAAATAAATAAAAGAAGATAAACATGGGGTGATTTTCCAAAATAAGGGTAAAATGCCAAAATGGAACACTTACCTGTTGAGGGCAGGAAAGAAACCCTTCGGCCAGGCTTTTTTGATGTCCAAAAGGTACGAACCACCGCAACCCTGCCACAGAAACACATCACCATTTCGATTGTTGATGTCTAAGAAGTTGCGAACATAGAGGATGAATAGGGGAGAATATGAAGCTCGTGAAGGTTGAAGATGTAAGAGTGAGGTAACTAGCTCCTGCTTTTATTTTGAATAAGGTTGCAAAAATGATCCATGTAGGTGGAAAGACGAAAATACCCTCATCTTTATTGCAGGTAACGACACATATGGACGGAAGTTAGTGTGAGGGACCAAAAACAATAAAAAGATCAAATTTTGGACTAGTGGTGCACCAACATTTTGTTTTGGACCAAAAACACATAAATTTGTCAATCATATATAGGGACCATTTTTGCAACTTTGTCTTATTTCCTTACAAAATATGTTTCGTTATCATAGAAACTAACCTAGTTTGTTTCCGTTATACATCACTATGCATATTACATATACATAATCCAGTTATTCAGTAAACCATATAATATCTGAACTTAAACCTCTAAATTATTATGTGACTCCCATTATCTCTTTAGAGACTTAGTTCACCAACTATTGTCAAACACATTTTCAATATTCCCTTTTGGGACCATTTAAAATGACCACATCCAATCCCCTTTTATTCCAAGTATAATCATCACCAAAAGTACAATTATACATGCACAGATTACAAGGTGCTCCAATGGAATTTGGTTGTAATGTAATGGTGGTCGATTTGAGTAGCCATCACTATTCAATTCCATTTAGAGTGGGGAAAGATTTTGGTCCATAGTAAGTGTTGTTGAAGTGGGTTGGGTTGGGTGTGGGGATATGGGGGTTGTCTTCCTTTTGTCAACAGAGATATGGTGAGGGAAGTGGAAGACACTATTCGAAGAAAAAGTATATTAGAAAATAACATATGAAAAGGTTATATTAAAAGGACTTTATAAAAAATTATATTGAAACGATATGCCATGCGACACTCTTAATTTCTCTTAGCAAATCAGGATATCATATATCTCATCTTCGTATGTCGGTGACAACCACTTACATATCCATTTTAATCAACATGATTATTATAAAATTTGCAACCAAGTGATTGCATGGTTACAAAAGGTAAACACAATTACTCCAACATATTCATAGCTTCATGTTTAATACTTCATCCATTCCATATTAATAGGCTATGTTTCCTAATTATAACTTTGATGTCTAATAAATAAATTTTAGATAATTTGTTAGCAATATATACCATTAATTAATCCTTTCAAAATGTGCATCTATATTATGTATTTTCTAGAAGGTCTCTTAAACTTAGGGCAGCCTCATTATGTGAGGCTATTAATCAGACAAAGAGGATCTTTTTGGGCCATTCACAATATAAATTGGAAGTTTGACACCTTAAAGAAAATCTTCATTCTTTTGCTACAGCCTACAAGCGTTGGATTGGGTCCACACATTTCATGAATTATGTGTCCATTCCCCTTGGTCAAAGCAAATCAAGAAATGGTCCTTCCTTTTGACATTTTGAACAAAAGTCAGAGGGAGAGCACACAACTTGTGTTTCTTATATAACCACTTATTCACCTTTTACTCTGTGTACATCCCTTCTAAAATAATAAAGTCAAACTCCCTGGCGTTCATCCACACAATCTCTCAAAAGTCAACGCTTTCCGGTGGCTCCTCCTACTGGCACACACGTATCCGTTGACAGGAGGAGAAAGGTAACACTTTCCTTCACAAAATGGATGATGAATGGGATTTGCATGCGGTGGTTAGGAGCTACACCACCATCCCCACCGATGCCACCACTGCCGCCTCCGGTACAAACACAACCACCAGCGATGATGGTTTTGATATGGTGGAAACTGTAGCATCTGGAAATGAAATATACCAGTTTTCATACTCAAATACCGGCGAGAACCCATCGGAGGGATTAGAGGAAGTATACAAAGAAGGGTGTTCTCAGCGGCTGAGCACCATGGCCACCGCCGTTGTTTCTGGTGATGATGAACAACTGCCGGTGTTTGATGGCTCATGTGACTCGTTTTCCAGTGAGACTCCAAGTAGAAAAAGGTAATTAATGTTTCTTTAATTTGGGGCTTATATTCCATGAAAAATAGAATTTTATTTATGAAAAAAAAAACGATTGAATTTGAAGGAAAAACCAGCAGAAGAAGGTGGTGGTTGAACTGACACAAGAGGAGTTATGTAGTGATACATGGGCATGGAGGAAATATGGTCAAAAACCCATCAAAGGCTCCCCCTTTCCAAGGTTTTCATATATCTTCTTTTTTATGTACATAAATATTCATGTAGAATTGGAAAAAACCCCAATATCCTCATAAACATACCATGAAATTCAAATATACACGCATATATAAATAACTACACACATAAATGAAAATACAAATGTATATATGTTGATGTTTGGATTTCTAGGCATGAAAAACCCCAATACGTATTTGGTACTTATGGGTTGGATTGGATTGAAACGAAGTGTCGCTTGTGAAAATATGTTACGAAGATGTTTTTGGTACAAAGTAATATAATGCTTATTTAGATAATTAATTTCAAGTCATTAAATATATATTTACATGAGAATTAATGTTGGTAAATGGTTTATATATGTTTATGTGGTCAGAAATTATTACAAGTGTAGCACAACGAAAGCTTGCGGGGCAAGGAAGCAAGTGGAACAGAGCCACGTGGACCCCACCGTTTTTATAGTTTCATACTCAGGAGAGCACATGCACCCTCGACCCACCCACCGGAGCCCTCTCGCCGGCAGCACTAGGAGTAATAAGTCCACTATGGCCCACCTACCACCACCCATCTCCGATGACTGTCCTTGATACATTTTCCTCTTGAATTCACTTAACTTATAGTGATAGTATAGTCAATACTCAATAGTGTGAGGGTGAAAATGAGGTTAACGATAATGGACTCTAATTTTTTGTAATCCCTTCGTTTACATGGAATGTGGAATCTTTGTGGCAAAAGGAATGTTGAATGGTTGCCTCTCTTGTGGCATTATTTTTAACTCAATTCTTTCAAAGAATAAGGAATCATATGGCAGAAACGAATGTTAAGTTTGAGATATGTTCGGAAAAGGACTTGCGAACAAAAAAATCGGACGTGGTTTCTACTTTATACAATGTTTATTTACAAGATCTGAAAATCAAACCTCAATTTTATTGCATGTTTGACAAAATAAGGCTAATAATTGATAGCTGAAATTTATAGTTTTTATTTATGTCAAATTGTTTGACAATGATAGATTTTAGCTTTTAAAGATGTAAAGTTAAATAAAAACTAAAACCGAAAGCTAAAAACTAAAAACCCCTACTATCAAACAAACGTGTAAAATAACATAAAAGATTTATGTTCCATAAAATTACATAAAAACTAAAAGATTTTACTATCAAACAAATTGTTTTTCCATTTTTTTCTAAAAAACTGAAAATTAAAAGCTTTCAAAAACTCCATGTCGAATACACTCGTAATCTCAAGATCTACCAAGCCGTCAAAATAAGATTTCATAGCAACGCGTATTTCTGATGTAATAAGAGTTATGTTTATATATTTTTATGGTGAAATGTTGGAATCCAATAGGGACGAGCAAAAAACGAATCGAGCCAAAAAAAATGAAAACAACAAGATAGAAAAACCAATTATACGATTTTTAATTTGACAAAAAAACAACCGAAGTCGGTGCGGTTTTACCCTACAAACCAACACTCAAAACGGAACTGCATCACTATAATTATTATATATATTAAAATATTATCATTTATATTATATAATATATTATTTACATTGGTTTATTGATATTCATTTTTGAATAAACTGAAGCAGAATGTGAGGATCGAGATAATTCAATTTTCTTTTTCAGTTCGAACATAAATCTAAGGCTTATTGAGCCTGAGTAACCGCATCTCCCACCAAGCCGCCATCTACAATAGTACAATCTTCCAACCTCCATTATCGATTATGGGCTAAAAAGGTAAAGCATAAAAGTTGGTTCATGTTTCTGGGCTAGACATCTTGGATAAAACTGTAAAAGGCTTAAATGCTAAAAATTTAATCAAAAAACGATTTACTTCTCGTCTCTTAGGTGTTTTAAAATCGTACCACAATAGAAAACCACATCATTTTATTATGTTGTTTAAAATTGAAACCGTAATATTGGAAAAAACCGCAAAGCTATACCACTTGAAAAACCGCACACAACTGTTTTAAGATTGCAAAAATCAATGCATGTTGTTTGCAGTTCCCTTTTGGCTTAAAACCACACAGTGCCAACCTCTATAATCCAACAACCAAATATTGACTTTTTATCATATTGGTTATAAATGATTTTTACATATATTTTCGATTTCTAAAAACATCTCCGACCATATTCTATTTTTGCCACTAGATTCTATTTATAGAGCATAGAGTAAAGGCTTTAAGAAAACTCTATTTTACATTTTATAAATAGAGAAATGAATAATTACATTTTAAATTTGGAGTGTGAAATATACAATCTCCAACATACTTTGTTTCTTTATACTATATTTTTAGAATGTAAAATAGAGTTTAGAGTGGTTGGAGATGAACCGCTATAAACTCTATTTCACTATAAAAATAGAGTATTGTTGGAGATGTTCAAAGCGTTTTTCTTTTAGGTTTTATCAACAAGGTCAAACGGCTAGGATCAAAAAGTTTGGTTTCTTTCACTAATGCATCGAGTAAAAGTTGCAACCTATATCGGAGTTTACTGCACCCGTCGATATTATTTAAAAATAAGTAATAAAAATTTCAACACAAATCAACTAATAATTAATAATTAGTTAAACCTTAGATAACATAATTTCCTAACAACTTATAATTAATAACTAACAAATTTCAATTACAAATTCCTAACAAAATATTACATACTAACTGATATGAACTAGCATCTACCCATGAGTTTTGGAGTTGGATCTTAGATATAAGATAGGAGTTGTTTGTAAGTTCTACATTTGATTCTTAACTATCATTATAGAGAGAAACCGTTACAATTGCCTCAGGGAATGTGCAACGAAAGCAGGCTATGTGACCAAGTTTGATCGATGTGTAAGAGGAGATGGTTTTTTATTGTCGGAGAGATTAGATAACCATCTTGGTGGGAAAAGTGCAAGTGTATAGTGGGGATTCATATATCAGAATTAAGGATCCCCACGTGGAGGAGAAAGTATTATATTTATAGGGTTATGTTTAGGGCAATTAGCTCAGGTCGTGGGTCAAGCTTGTCAAGGGTTGGGCTATTATGTTGTTCTTCCATGTTGTGCTGCCAAACTAGACCTGCACAATAAGATCAGTTTTGTAATGGACACGAAAAAACATCGAGACTGAACTGGTCGAAGACGAGACCAGCCCGAGAACGTTTGGGATCGATCCGAAATAGACCAAGACAGGTGGCCAAACTTTATAAATATATCATTTTTTGTTAATTATACAATTTTTAATCTCATATTATTTAACATCTTTACTTTTTTTTTCTTTTATTAAACTTAAGTTATCATTATTAATAAATCTTAATCTATCATTTTGGTGTTAATCACACATTTGTTAACCGAAAAAACTCGAAACCGAAACAAAACGTAAAATTACTAAAACCGGACAGAAAAAGGCGTGCAGACATACCACGAGACCGGACCGAAAAAGACCGAGACCGGTCCCAAAAACAATTGGATCGAAAAAAAAAATCATTTCCGAAAAAGACCGGCCTAAGACCGTTTGGGATAGATCCGAAAAAAGATTGGACTATTCTGAGACTGACCCCAAAAAAGACTGGACCGGTCGAGACCGGTCTGGAACCGACAATATGCAGCTCTATGCCAAACAATGTTGTTATGTTGTATAAATCATGTTAATAGACCCAACATCATCGAGTACCCCAAATCAGATGTGATTGGTTTGCTACCCATTATATTGGAGTGGATATAGTCATATAAGTCGTACACCAATTAACAAACCTTAACAAATATAATATAGTAACAAATAATCATTAGCACACAAATACGAAATACATATTAAATATAAGATTTTAATAGCTAACAATTCGTAAATAGAAGAATAAATATTGAACACCATGCTAATATGTAGTTTTAACTTTTAAAGAAAGTCAAAGAAAAAGAAAAGTATACTTGACAATAAAGTGTCAGAATGGTTCATTATTAAATAACAACGTGATGAGAGGTGTAAGATGAAAAGGCATAAGATCTGAGTTGCTCTGGTCCGCATACTCAAACCTGGTCAAGGCCTAGTTAACGCAAGCCCAGGGAAGGCCATGCCCGGTCCGCAAGCGCTCCAAAACAGTCAGCATGTTAAGGCCCACGATATTTTCTTAGGCCTAGAGCCAAACTGGTTCCATGATTGTTTTTTTCGTTTGTTTAAGTGTTATTGTAGTTAATTTACTTAAACAACATCCTGTTTTCATAACTATAATGCATAAATAGATGAAATAGAAAGAAATGAGAGTATGATGTTATAATGCACATATAGATGAAAGTAGATTGTTATTTCTTTCATTTAAGTTATTGTAGTTAATAAGGTGAACATCTCCCTAAAGTGTGTGCTTAACAGTGAAAGTGTCCCGCATTAAAGCGTACGTTTGATGGTGAAGTTTGTGAATGAGTATGTAGTCTTTAGATGTGAAATCAAGTGTCCCACAATCTCTAATTTAAAATTTTTTAAAATAATTTTAAATTGATTAGTGATGGAACATTTTAATTTATATGTGTGCAACAAAATAGGTTGGGTTGATTTACTAGCAATAAAGCAGATTGCAGAACAGAAGTGTCATTGCATTGTGATCGATAAACGATAGTAATTTTGATTTGTATTAACATGAAAACAAAATAAAATTATACGTCTAACCAACCTTTACCAATTACCATATCATATACCCCTTATAAAAACCCCATCCCATCTCCATTCATATCACCACTTCCCATCAACGGGCAGTCATTAGAATCCTGCCCAAACTGCCCGCAACACGCTAGTCTTCTCTTTGAATTCGATCTTCTCTCTTTCAGTTTCCCTAAATTTAAACCACCTTCATGAGAATTCCTAGTAAATCCATGAACAATACTATTATCAGAATCCTCAACTTCCGGAAGAATCAACGAACCCGGTGTACTATCATCATCATCATAAGACATATCATTACAAGCTCCCGGAAACTCCTTGACTCGAGTCAACACCATATTAATTTCACCAGAAACAAAATTCAACCTTTCATCCGTCTCCACAGCTTCAGAAACTAAACTAGATACCATCGACTGTAACTGTAACATCTGATTCTGGGCATTTTGGTCATTTCCTGTACCAATTTGACTTCGCCAACGAATGGGTAAATACTGATATGGGACATTGAAACAGTTATTTGTGGACAAAACACGAAGAACATGTCTACAGAGGATTCCTGAGAATTCAAAATCATGGCAACTGCAGCTGATGAATTCATCATCTGGAATCCAGATTACTTTGGACCCACCGATGATTTCGGTGTGGTGGCGCACAATGAAGTAACTCTCATCGACCAATAGGGACGCGTATTGTGGGGCCAACACCAGTTGTTCTTGTAATTTGGAAAACGCGTATGGTGTGAGAACAGTAGCTGCATGTGATTCGATTGGTGAACCTGTTTTTAGAGATATTTTTTGACTTCTTCGAATCATTTTCTGTTTTAATGTAGCCTGATCTTTAGCTTCCATCACCACTGCCACCTGGATAATATATATATATATATATATATATATATATATATATATATATGTGTGTGTGTTAATATGAATAGAAGTTATTAAATTTATATGTCAAGGTTTAAAGTGGAAATACATATACATAATACAATAATCCATACCTGCTCTATGAAATTTTCGAGAACAGATTGTGCACTTAAAAACCGTTGAATGAAAGCATTTATTAACTCTGGTTGAAAAGTATTTGTCATTCCAGCAAAAAAGTAGCATCTCAAAAAAGGTAAAGCCCAAAACGTTCGCAAAGCATACAAGCTCACAATATGCTTGTTTCCATGGAGTCCATACCTATCAACCATCTCTCTCCACCTTAACTCAAATTCATCAACCAAATGCAAATTATAAAGCCCATGAAACTCAGCTTTCCACTGATCATATCGCGATCCAAGCAACACAGAAAACCAATCAGAAAATTTCGAAATGATTTGCCAAATGCAAAAAGCATGTTTTGTTCTCGGTGTTTCAATCGCAATCGCTTCTTTCAACCACATGTTTTGGTCAGTCAATATTGTTTCCGGAACCTTCCCATTCATGAAGGCTAAAAACGTCTTTAATGCCCAACGAAAAGACTGTATGTTTTCATCGCGTAAAAGAACACAACCGAAAAAACAATTTGTCCCATAACTATCCACCCCAAGAAAAATCCCGAGAAGCATATCGTATGAATCCAATCTATGAGTTGTGTCAAATACCACAACATCTCCAAAAGAGTCAAAAGATTGAGTTGAAGATGAATATGTCCATGCAATATGATCCAAACGGTTGTTTGAATCGATCTTGAAGTTGTATTTAAAGTTTGGATCTTTATCTTTCTTGTCTTTACACATTTTGAGAAGGTCAATAGCGTCTGAATCACGGTCAACGTTTCTAAAAGATTGAAGTAAATTTCTCACATCGATTTCCGTGAAAGGTAAACAACCGAGTTTCACGCCTTTTTCCAATTCCAACAACCTTAACATTTGTCTAACCGACATCCCGGCTTTTGCAAACATACAAATCCGACTCTTGTCATCCGATGACATCGTGCAATAAGCAGGAAGGGCATGGATGTCAATGGACTTCAAAAGGTCATGATTATGTACGTTGCTAAAACCAGTTATACGCCATTCGGGGACATCAAAATCTGCTCTTTTTACAATTCTCATATAAGCTTGGCATCCACAACGTGAGGATTTTCGGTTTCTGTGTACCTTTCCATCTTCTGAAGGCTTTATTTGTGGGTACCCACCACGGTGGCAGGTGAAATCCCGCCTTGTGATCCCCCGTCCCACACCATCCTTACCACGGGTACGATGGCGGCGGATTGAGAACCCACATTGCTTTGCGAAGCTACAGTAGAACTCATAAGCAGCATCTTGTGAAACAAATCTTTGACCGATAAAAGGGACAAGGTTGACTGAAGTTTGTCTGGATAAGATTGTATCCTCTGGGATCTCTTCAATGGTGCCGATGTCATCTGCTGATAAATCTGTTCCATTTTCGGATGTTTCTTTCATCATGCTTGTTATCTTGTGTAAATTACAGTATAGTCCCTACACATAAGAAAAAAAAAATATTGAGATGTGAACATTGAGGACACTGATCATATCAATAAGAGTTATTGTAATGCCCACTAGGATTGAGATTACTGCAGAGCTTTTCCAGCAGTAATATCAAGAGATGTTGGCATAAACAATGAAAAACGTAATTTCAGATAAGGTTACAGAATTTTAGATGGCGATTTCATGAAATTACTTCAAACTACTGAACCCTTCATTGATTTGCGTGCTAATAGATAACTGTGGAAACTAAAAATCAAGCATCTAAATGCGTAGCCGCTGAGGTTCATGATTCAGAGCATAATCTTAAATAAAAGCAAAACAACCCAACGAATACGATAATTAGAGCATCAGCTAGTCCAAAACAAAACAAGACTGTAGGGGTAAAATGACGATCTAACACAGTAGTATATACTATATGTGCTTAAAACCCTAACAAATCGATATATTCCTCATTCCTTATTAAATAACCGCAAGCTCGTCATTCAAGTATATGGATTCGATTAAATGGCTACGGGGTTTAATAACCATATATTGTTCAACTAAGATGCTTCGGACGTCGGTTTATAGCTAAATGTGCAATAATCGTATTTTTCACTCTATGAGTAGGGTTCAAAGTGTTTGCGATTGCATAATTAAAATTGCAGATATAAGGACAGCGTACCGAGTCGACGAACCGGCGAAGATTAAGCTTCAAATCACCTTACCGGCGGGGATCCTTCACTCCAGTCGATCTACAGATTCCATGAAATAGGAAATTTCGGAGTTGGAACGGAGCGCCGTGTTTGGGATTGCTTGAAATTTATTTTTTAAAGTTTTATCAGACATGGTATAAAAAATGAGGATTATTTGCCAAATTGTCAATGTTTTAAAAATTAAATTTTATAAAAAATGTGGATTATGTGCCAAAATGCTTCGAGTAGTTTGGGACTACGTACAATGTTTTAAAAATCTGGATTTTAATTGGACTGGTTTGGTTACTAGTTTTCGGTTTAATAAATTTATTGTCGATTCAATTCAATTTTCATAATATGTATTTTCTATTGGGTTTTTATCACCAACGCACAACAAAGTATGATTTTCGTCTTTAAAATGTCACTTAACTTAACTTTATACCTATTACACAATTCAAGTGAGAACTCACTTGTTATATAAGTGTATTTAGTCGGTATCCTAGTTAAAATACTCATTTTCGTATCTTACGTGGAATAAACTATGTTACATGGACGAGCAGACTTACGTGGCATGTGTAGTAAGCCTCTTTGTTAAGGGAGAAGGACTTCATCATATCAAACCAACGAAGCTCCTTCTTTTTTTACGATCAAAGTTTTTCTTCCTCTACCTTCTTAGTGTCATCTTCCTCAGCCACTTCCCGTTACTAATTGGTGCCTGCAAACGCACATTCGACATGCGATTGTCCCAACGGTCCTTTTCTGGCGAAGGAACGAGAATCATAGAGTATCGATAATCCAACTCGTCGTTTTTTTAACTGTGCCAAATTGCTGGCAAATGTTGATTCATGCTCCTACTGCCTGCATATACCATTTTGGTTTTGATATATTAGTCGTCGGTTTCAGAAATCTCTAATTTGAAGAAACCCTATAAAATGTTGCTATCATTTATGTGTAGTATGTATCTTTGGGTTTCGATATGATATCATCTACTTATTGATTGTCCTTTATGAGTCAATGATTCATCATTTGGGACTTGATGTATATGTCATTATAGTGATGTATGTTTGGGTTTGTCAAACTTTTCTAGGATTGCACCCAAGAAACATGAAGTTTCTTAAATGTCACTAATTTTGTACCATTTACGCATCACTTAAGTGTTGTTCTTAATAAAGAATTTAATCACACAAATTTATGGGATTGTGTTCTTTGTAAAACATGTCTAGTTCTAGCATCATTCTTTCAAATTTTGCATTTATTTGTTTTTTATAGTATCCTACTTTCAATAGAGCATTGTACTTTCAAGTTGTCTAATTTATGTACCACTTAAATTTTATGGGATTGCTCTTATTATCCATTTGTTCCCTTGTTTTTAATCCAAGACGCATTGTGTAACATCCCAATTTTCAGGTATGAATTTAAAAGCTTATATATGTATAGGGCAACTCGATGAGTTGGAAGGCTCCAACTTGTCGTGTAGAGTGTTTAATGTTTGCGTATGTTTCAATGTCTACTCGACGAGTTGGAATGCCCCAACTCGACGAGTTGAAGGTTGGACATGAAAACCCTAATTTTTAGGGTTTGCACCCTATTTAAAGGCCTTAACTCTCATTGTTGACATCCTTCATCGCCTCCTTGCCCAGAGAAAAACCCTAGTTCGTGCTTTTGCTCTTATTGTGTGTGTGTGTGAGAGAGCTTAAAGATTGATTTTTGGTGTTCTTTTAGAAGGAACAAGAAGCTTGAAGAAGTTGGCTGAAGGGAGAGGTTGTAGACCTGGTGTTTACTCTGTTGTGGAAACCGTTTTGAGGTATAAAGTCGATACCTTGGTCTCTTATTGCTTAGATCTACTTCTATGAAAAGATATTGTTATTCTTGATCCATATTGGAGTCATTCTTGGAATGATGCATTGTTTGAAGTTGCCACTTCAGATCTGGATGTGTTGTGGTTCTTTGAGCCTAAAGTTCCAAGCTTTATGAAATATTGGCCCTCCTTCATGCCCTAAATCCATTGATAAGCCTTATTTGAGTATTTTAGCCCCTTTGATGCCATGCATGGATGTAAAGTTAGCAACTTTACGTGGTATCTCAGTCCTAGGGGACCAGATCTACTGTTTGGGGCTTTGGCTTCGCTTGGAAGTGTCTAAATGCATTAAGGCTAGGAAAAAATCGACGAGTTGCTCTGCCAACTCGACAAGTTGATTAGGGTTTTACTGCTTTCTGGATGCTGAAGAACTCGACGAGTTGCTAGATGCACTCGACGAGTTGGGTCAACATGGACTGTTGACCTTGACTGTTGACTGTTGGCTTTGATCATGGTTGACCAAGTTTGACTTTAAAGGAATTTTGGTACTTCGGGATTTTAATAAAGTGAGTTACATGGTGGTTGTAGGCAGTCGAGATCGGAGCTGAGAGTTGGGGTTTGATCTTCTTTATTCAACACTACTTGTGAGGTGAGTTTTCCTCACTATACTAACAGGGTCGAAGGCACCAAGGCCGGACCTTTTGGATTGTTATCCTGGTTTGTCATATGCTTGTATGATGTAGTGATTTGTTAGATCTGTATCCTGGTAGATAGGATGATGCTATGCTTAGTGATCTGTAAGACCTTCCTGCTTGTCTGTTGGTTGGTTATATGTTTAATTGTTATGTATATGTCGACATGGTTTGTGTGTGGTGGGGTTGAGGCGGTCCTGCTTTGTGTTGAAGGCCAAGATACACTGTGTAGTCCAGATAGACTGTAGGCCCTGTGAGGCGGTTCAGTTAGGCTGAAGTCCCCGCGAGAGGTCCGGATAGGATGTAGGCCCTGCGAGGCGGTCCAGTCATGCCGAAGGCTCGGGAGCGGTCTAAATAGACCGAAGGCCCTGCGAGGCGGTCCAGTCAGGCTGAAGACTCATTATGCATGTTATTATTTGTTATGTTTATATGGTGGTATTTTGGGGAAGACTCACTAAGCTTTGGGTTTACAGATGTGGATTTTGTTTCGGGTACTTCAAATGATCGCGAGAAGGTGAAGGCTTGATCGTGCACCTCCTCATATTTTATGTTTTGATTTTTGGGATTTCTCTGATGTTAAACAATTTTGAAAACAATTTGTAAACAGTGGATGATTTTGGAATGTTGGAAAAAGTTTAAATTTTTCATGAATTTTATGGATGTTACAAGTTGGTATCAGAACATTGGTTTGAGTGATTTGGAGGAACACTCGTGTGAATCCAGTCTCAAACTAAGGAAAAGATTTTCAAAATGACTTTCAAATGGTTTTCAAAGTACTAAAGGAGGGTGTGATGTGTACGATCAGCTAGAGCCAGTAAGTAGACCCCAAAATACCATATTGTTATTTGATATTGTGATATGTTAGAACGGCATGCTAGTGATAGGCTAGGGATCTTCAGGAACTGCATGATAGAATTGCCTGATTATATGATGCCTGATAGCCTAGGGTTTTCCTTTATATGAAATTGACATCATTATTGTAGTTGCTTAGTGTATGCATCACGGTTGTATATAACTAAGATCTTGTAGCCTGAGAATGTTTGGTTTGGCCTTATTTCTTGTTCTTGTTTGATGAAGGGCTTAGGTTAGGATCGGATATTCGAATGTCTATAGGGTCCAGTGTTATGTATGGCTAGCATACACAAGTGCTACAGGGTTGGTGGAAGTTTCATGGATGAGTTGTGCGGGGTCAGCCGGCCAGTTGTGAGATGTTTAGCCTTCCTCTAGGAGTGAGGATTGAGCGTTCGCCTATGCTTATGTATATTGTTAGGGCGTTGTGATGATCCTTGAGATGAATATGGGTAGGTGTGGAAGGTAGTATAGGCCCATACTACTGAAAGCACAGGACCCATACGCGTAGCAAGGAAGTCACAATCCCTAGGGCTTTGTTGGGAGTTGGTTCCCCGTTATTATATGGAATGTCTGATATCTTCCTGGTATATTTTCAGTATGGTGGTTACGAGGCGATTTGAGACCAGATCCGGGTCAGGATCGGGAGCTGGCAATCAGGATAGGTCAGCATTGACAGAGGACCGTGTCAGGGAGATCATTCGTGTGAGGTGGTTTCTATCGTTCGGGTTTAGATTCCGGAGATGTTCGGGTCTATCAAGATCGCGATGATGGAGTTCTTTGATGATCGCTACGCAACCATTGTTGAGACGGCTGTTGCGACAGCCTCCGCAGCTGTGGCGGTTACAGGTACGGGGACAGGTAGGGCTTTTCAGTATCGGGACTTCGATAATACGAAGCCCCCGACCTATGATGGAGTTCAGGACCCGATCATCTCCATGAAGTGGCTATATGACTTGGAGGGATGCTTTTTCACGTGTTCATGCCCTGCTAACCAGAAGGTCAGATGCGCTCTGAACCTCTTGAGGTCCGGAGCGAAGGACTAGTGGAGACTTGTTACAGGATCATACTCCGATGAGCAGAGGGATGAAATATCTTGGGATTAGGTCAGGGATATGTTTCGCTCTCGCTACATTCCTCGGGTCGAGCGGGAGAGGTTGGCTCAGGAGTTTCTGGATTTGAGACAGGGATCGGAGACGGTGATGGAGATCACCCGGATGTTTACCGAGAGGGCGATGTTTTGCCCAAAGTATGCTTCCGAGCAGGCTCAGATGACTCGTTATTTGAGCATGCTTAAGACTGACATCAGATAGTTCGTTGCTACCCAGCGTTGTGATACTTTACTAGAGTTACAGGAGGCCTCTAGGCGGCGTGAGCTTGATATTGAGTTGCAGTTGAGAGAGCAGATACAGGCCCCGATGCAGTCACAGTCGGTGTCAAAGCAGTCCAAGACCGTCGATTCCAAGTCTGGAGGTCAGCACAACCGCACTTGTGGGAAGTGCGGGAAGGTTCATTATGGATCATGTCGATCTGGTAGTAGGTGCCACAAATGTGGCAAGGAGGGGCATTATGCGAGGGACTACCGACAGTCCGCCCCGGTTCCGAGTATGAGGATTTGTTACCATTGTGATCAGGTTGGACACGTGAAGGTCAACTGTCCGTTGCTTTCCGCCAAGTCGGTTCAGGCTCCCGCGCCAGCTACCTTGAGGATTACTGACGGGAGTCAGGGTAGAGCAGAGCCCCCGAGGGCTCGGGGACGTGCGTTCCAACTTACTGACGAGGAGGCCATGACTGCACCAGATGTTGTGGCTAGTATGTTTATATTCCTTATATTATTGATTATGTTTATTGTATACTTATATGGTTGTACCTATGTTAGGTACGTTTTTAGTGAACTTCTTGCCTGCTCTTGTATTGTTTGACTCGGGGGCGAGTCGGTCATTTGTCTCCCGGTCGTTTAGTAGGGAGTTCGGTTTGCCTTTAGGAGAGCTAGAGTGTCTGTTGCGAGTCTCCATCGCCAACGAACACGGGGTTTCTGCTTCATTAGTTTATCGGGGTTGCGTTCTAGAGATATTTGGGGTGTCTTTTCCGATTGACTTGATTCCGATTCCCATGGGGGATGTTTGTTTTATAGTAGGTATGGATTGACTAAGTCGTTTTCGGTGCCATGATCGACTGTGAGGGTCAGCGTGTAGTAGTTCGTACCCCAAGTGGGGGAGAGCTATTAATATATGATGAGGGCATAAGGTTGGGTTCAGGGTTTTGCTCAGCCGCT